GTTTTAAGAGGAGGAAGCCAGCTGAAGCACAGGGAGGTTAGGGTACCAGCCGAAGGTCGCACGGCATGCAGCGGCCAAGCAGACCTCTGCCAGTTTGCTGAATGAACACAAAGAAGTATGTGGTTGCTCTTGTTCCAGATTTGCCCCTAGTTGGCTTTGCTGCCCCCGCCTGACCCTTGGTCATCACACCTGTCTTCTGTCCTGACCTGCTGGCTCCAGAGCCCCTCAGATGCCTGAAGATCCCCTGGCTCCCCAAAGAGGCTCCTCTGCTGCTGTTTTGTCAGGCTGCCCCACCCCTTCCTTAGGGGAGAGTGGACTCTAAGGCAGGGGTGTGGTTTCAAAGGCAGTTAAGAGAGAATGGAGAAGGCAGGAAGCCAAGAAGAGGGCTGGGCCAGAAAGTCTAGGGGCCCCGGGGACAGGGCCCAGGCTGAGGCCTCGCCCAGTGCAGGGTAGGTATAAGACAGTCGGAGGGTGTTGGGCAAATGTAGCTCAATTGAGGAAACTCCCTGTGTATTTCTCCTTGAGTGTCTCTGAGGGTCTTGGAGGGTCTCAGGGTCTCTGAAACTCTTTGCGTTGATGGGCTGGCCCTGCTTAGGACTCAGGCCCAAAACCTGCTCAGTGCATGTCAGGAGAGCAGGAGAGGAAGTATGAAGATGTGTCCTCCAGAAGCTTCCAGCTCCCCTCCACTCAGCCAGGGTGAGGGCCAGTGGAATCCAGAGCTTTCCCCTTCCACAGGCCTGGACACGGCAGACTGGGGCTGTAGCAGGAGATGCAGACCCCAGCCTATTCTAGACCCCCAAGCCCCAGGACCTAAGCCCCCCAAACTTCAGGACCCCAGATGTACCAGACCCCAAGCCCCAAGGTCCCCCAAACCCAGTATCTTAGGCTCCAAGCCTGCCTCTCCCCTCCCCCTTGCCCGTAGCCTGAGTGCCTGGGCTTCCTCATTTCCACATTTCCTCTTATTCTAAGAGGCCTCAGTGCTGAACACTACCAATTCCTCCTCTGGTGCAGGGTGTGGGAGATGGCCCACCTGCACCCAGCCCAGCTGGCACCCCTCTGTCCCTCTTGCCCTGAAAGCCTGAGTATCTTGTGTGTGCTTGCTGGCTAATTTTAATGTGTTTATTCTGACTACAATTTGCAGTCACATGAAATGATAGGATCCTAAAATTAAAATATTAAAACATACATGGTGAGATTCTCCCTCCTATCCGCCTGCCACTGAGAGGTAATTGTGGGTATTTGTTTTTTGTGTTTCACCCAAAGTTTCTTTAGGCAAATGAAATCTAGAAAATTATTATTATTATTGGCTTTTTTTTTTTTTTTTTTTTTTTTTAGTTATTGTTTTCTCTTGGAGATATCTGCACTTAATTCAGGCCAGCTTCCGCCCCAGGGCCTTTGCACAGGCTGTTCCATACATTGGCTGCCCCTCTCCCACCTCCTACTCAATAAGCTCCTTTATCCTTTATCCTTGACTCTTTTGATCATCTCATTAAAAAGTCCCCGCCTTTGCTAATGGAGTCTCATCCTTACTTTTCTCTGCATTACTCCCCCTGCCATAACATTTTCCCGATGGATGCTGCCTGCCTCCTATCTCTGTGACTGCTGCAAGGACCGCACAGGGACAGGCATTTTATCTGTTTTATCCACAGCTCCTTGCCCAGTGCCTGGCACAGAATAGGAACTTAATAAGGGTTTGTGGAGGAAATAAATGAGTCCTTCCTTATTTGTTCATAAAGGTCTGTAATTTTGTTTTCATGGTTCTGTGGCACCCCCCCCCCCAGAATAAATGAACTGTTTCTGATCTGACCAATCCCTTAGGTTGTTTACAGTTTTTTTATGTAGCAAACATTGCTGCCATGAATCATCTAATTGTCATGTCATCTTTCTTTTTTAAAAAAATATTTTATTTATTTATTTTTAGAGTGGGGAAGGGAAGGAGGAAGAGAGGGGGAGAAACATCAGTATGTGTGGTTGACTCTTGTGTGCCCCCTACTGGGGACCTGGCCCGCAACCCAACCAGGAGACCCTTTGGTCAAACAGGATCAAACAGGAGACCCTTTGGTTCGCAGGCCGGCGCTTGATCCACTCAGCCACGCCAGCCACGGCTCATCTTTCTGACTTATCTTTTATATTGTGCAAAATACACTTAACATAAAATTTACCATTTTAGCCATTTTAAAGTGAATAATTCAGTGGCATTCAGTGCATTCTTAATGTTGTACAACCATCACCTTTATCTACTTCCAGAACATTTCTATCACTCCAAAAGGAGACCTTGTCCCCATTAGTAGTCACTCCTTGTCCCCCCCCCGGCCCCGACCCCTGGCAACCACCAATCTGCTTTCTGTGTCTATGAATTTGCCTATTCTAGACATTTCATATAAATGGGACCACACAACGTGTGGCTTTTTATGTCTGGTTTCTTTTACTCAGCATGTTTTTCAGGTTCATCCACACTGCAGCCTGTGTCAGTGCTTTGCTGCTTTTTATGAGGTCTGTCCAGAAGGTATCCAGCCATGTACTATGAAATGTAGAGACATTTATTAAAGAAGATACAAGAAACACTGTACATCGGAAAATGACACCTCAGTCCCCTTCAAGGTACACACCTTGGGACCTCACACAATCCTCCCAATTGCCATTAGCTGCCCCGTCGTGTGTTTTCCTGAATCTCATCAACGATCTGAAATCTCTTCCTATTCAAAGGTGATTTTAGTTTTGGGAAAAGCCAGACGTTTCAGGGCACCAAATTTAGGCTGTAGCAGGGCTGAGTCACCTCGGTGATTTGATGTTTCATCAAAACACTGGCCCTGGCTGGTGTGGCTCAGTAGATTGAGCGCTGGCCTGGGAATCAAAAGGTCGCTGGTCCGATTCCTGGTCGGGGCACGTGTCTGGGTTGTGGGCCAGGTGCCCAGTTGGGAGCGAGTGAGAGGCAACCAACCAATGTTTCTCTCTCCCTCTCCTTCTCTTCTCTCTCTAATAATAAATAAGTAAAATTAAAAAAAACAACTCTGCATGAGACATGGTGTATGAGCAGGTGCACTGTTATGGTGAGGGTGCCAATCACCAGTTGCTCGTAGCCGCGGGCTTCTGAATCATCTGAATAGTTTCCACAGAGGAACATTCAAGCTTAATGCAAAATTTGATGCAGGTTCATCGCTCTACTCTCTATTTTGAATGAATGGTCGCACAGTACACACGCTCACTCTACAGCACCTACCGTCCCCACTGACTAGTACAGTGAAGGTGTCATGGTTCACGCATGCGTATTTCAGTCCACTCTCCCCGGCTACCAGGTTACATCAATGCCGGGGAAACCATTCTTCTTATATTAACATTGGCCGGATTTTTTTCTGGACAGACCTTGATTGGCTGAGTGATATTCCATTCTGTTGATGGTCCATGTTGTATTCACCTTTATCAGTTCACACCCCTATCATTTTGCAGACATAGATATTTGGGGGGATCCCAGAGTGGAACTGTGGGGTGAGTGGGCACATGTGTTCATGATTCTGGTGGCCGGTGCCTGGGTGCCTTCTGTGGGGCAGCACTATGGATGTCCCTGAAACGTGTGTGGGGCTGCCTGTTTACCCACAGCCTAGCCAGCACGGCTGTTATCACACTTTTGAATTCTCGCCAATCTGATGGGTGAAAACAAGCAGTATCTCAGAGATGCTGTGATTTGCATTTCCTTCCTAGGAGTATCTTTGAGTGTGTTAAAGAACAATTTGCAACCTTTTCTACAAAGTCTCAGCTCAAAACCTGAGTCAGAGGACAAGGTAAAGTAGAGGGGGTGAACTGCAGCCTCCCAGAGCCTAGAAGACTCTAAGCATGCATCCCATCTTACAGGCGTGGAAACTGAGGCACAGAGCAGCTAAGGCTGCACAGTGAGTCAGGGGCTAGAATGGCATTGAACTGGGTCTGCCTGATGTCGGGACTCCAGTAAGGCAGAGGCGCTCTCCCAGCCCGCCCCTGCCCACTCCCTCCTCAGCCTCGCTTTTGTCACTGCCCCTCAGGTCTGACTCACGTTGCCCTCTCCCCCTGAGATCCCAGCCTCCTCCCCAGGTTCCACCTCAAGGCCCCAGGCTCGGTCCAGATGTGTGTCTTCACACAGTGCGTGTACATTGCCCCGGCCTACACATCTGCTTTGGCTTCCCATGAGCCTGCGACAGCAGTCCCTCTCCTCAGTTTCAAGGCCAGCGCCGTCCCCCACTCCCCACAGGTGTACCAGCAGCTCCTCCTCTTAGTGTCCGCACTCCAGCCCCTCCACTTCTAACCACCAGGCCCAGGGCCCAATGCTTTGAGCCCAGGGCCCAGGGCCTCTGCTCCTGCTGTGCCCTCTGCCTGGAATCTGTAAGTGCATCTATTTCTGCTTCCCACTGCCTGCCACTGGGACTCACCCTCCAAGCCCCAGACTCAATGTCCTCTCCCCCCGGAGGCCCTCTCGCACCCTCCCACTCAGCATGGAGGAGTCTTTGTGCAAGAGTAAGAGTCCCGAGTCTGTGGTGGAGGCTAGGAGACTGGAGAGTCAAAGGCAGGTTTTAGGAACCCTCAGCAAACACCTGCGCATGTGTGAAAGCCCCAATTTTAATGTCTCCTCCTCCAAGAAAACTTCCAGGACCCTGTCCCTCCCCCTAATCCTGTCCAGACTCCATAGGACTAGGGTGGTCTGTGTCCGGCTCTGTCCTCTCTCAGGACTGCCTGTTCTTTGGAAACCTGGGCAGGGCTGAGGCCTCTTGATGTTTGTTGAATTGAAGGCAAGAGTTGGGAGCCAACTGAGCTAAGACCAGGAAGTGAGTTGATGAAGTAGCAGTCAGTTGGGGTGTTAGCGGGGCGGGGGGGTGGGGGGTGGGTGTTGACCGGGTTATAGCAAGAGAGAAGCGAGCCACCCCTCCCCCTCGCGTGAGAATCCTGGGCCTGGAGGCTGTGCAGAAGGGCGGGTCTTCTCTTCTTCTTCATTCTTGCCCTCTGCCCTGCACCCGGAGACCAGTTCCTCTTCCCCTGCATTGCTGAAGAGTCCAAGGAGCTCCAGGGACCACAGGGGATCTGAGAGGTGCTGGCTACTGTGACCCCAGTCCAGGTGAGCCACCACGAAGTTCTGTGCAGGAGCTTTCCAGCACTGCCCGGGTAGAGGCGTAACGGCGGGACTGCAAAGGTACGACGGAGGCCAGGCCGGGATCAGGGTCTGCGCAGGGGCTGCAAGTCGGAGGTCGGCAGTCCCCTCTCCAGGCAACCCAGTCCAGGACTCCCAGCTACCGTAGCTCAGAGGCGGGGTCATTTGCGGGGCAACCACTTATTTGCATGTGGTCCCGTCTTGGTTAATGAAGCTGAGAGAAATGCTGGGGGACTGGGCCAAGCACAGGGAACTCCTCTGGGAGAAAGAGAAGGGGATGCCAGTCTAGGTCTCCTCCTCGCCCTCCAAGCACTGAGGCACTGAGGTTATGGATCCATTTCTCAGAGGAGAGACTGAGGCTGGAAGCCAGAGCCAAGCAGTGAGAGAGTGACAAGTGAAGGGTTGCATATTACCAGAAGCAGACTGAGATGTTCTGAGATATTTAAAAAAAGAGAAAAACTAATAATAAACCCAGGTGGCGATGGTGAGGTTGACCACAGGCAGAAGTCGGGGCTTAGATTCTGCTGTCTCTGCCTAGGTGCTTGAATGGAGAGCGCCCTGGCGTGGGCACTGTGGTTGCTGCTGCTACTGCAGGATCCATGCAGCCTGGGATTGTCATGCAACGTGTCTTCGGGGACCGTGGACTGGAGCAGGACGTTCACAGCCACATGTCTGAACTTCAGTGGTCAAGGCCTGAACCTGCCCCTGAACAAGTCTCTGCAGGCCAGCAGCGTTGAGCTCCTCGACTTGTCTGGGAATGGCCTTCGAAAGCTCCCGTGGTCCTTCTTCGCCAACCTGAGGAGTCTGCAGATCCTGAACGTGACCCACAACCCCCTGGAGCATGTGGATGAGATGCTGGTGGAAACCTGCACCCTCGACCTCAAGGCTGACTGCAGCTGCATTCTAGCCCCCTGGCACAAGGTCCGGCAGGAAAACTGCTCTGGCTTGCTAATTCCACAGTGCCTGGATGCAGGCACTGGTGCGTGGCGCAACCTCTCCACCTTCCTGGAGGCTGGATGCCCACCTCGCCTGACCTCAGTGACCATTGGGGTGCTGGTGGCCAGTGGAGCTCTGCTCCTTGTGCTCTCCATAGCTGGCTCGTTGCTGGCTTGGAGGCTCCGGACACGCTGGGGGCCCAGTAGCCAGGGCCTGGGCAAAACATGGGCTGCTTCAGATGGTCCGAGGCCCAGCTCAGGCCGGCAGCCGAGGTACAGTAGCCGGAGCCTCAGCCCTAAGCAATCAGCGGTCACCCCGCCCAGACCCCCCACGCCTGACTACGAGAATGTGTTCATAGGACAGCCACCTGCCGGGCACCAGTGGACGAAACATGGGTGAGTGGCCCACACACATCTCCCTGCAAGACTCAAGCCAGATGGCTAGGGTTCAGATCCCAGCTCTGCCTCTTGGGGGCTTCTTTGTGATCTTAAGCAAGTAGTTTTTCCCTCTCTGGGCCTCAGTTTCCTCAGCTATAAAATGGGGATAATTGCAGCCCCCATCTCATGGAGTTGGGGTAAGAATGGAGTGAGTTCCTGTAAATGGGACAAGCTCCCACTTCATGACCCACAAACCCAGTTTCTAGTGGCCAAGGACAGGGAGAGAGGACGCAAGTGCTCTAGGTAGAGTCGGACTCTGTGGTAGCAGTCAGCAGCCTGGGTGCAGGCCTTGTGTGATCAGGAGCTGCCTCTGAACCGCTGTTTCCGTCTCTGTGCGGTGGGGGCAGCCCTCCCCCCATCTCCCTTTGACCCATGGGAGATGCTAAGAAAGCCACCTGTATCCATCTCTCCTACGAAGTCCCAATGCCTCTAGATCAGGCTGGGGTTAGATGGATAGGTCCAACTTTAACAGGATGGATGCAGAGTGGAGGGAATTTCAAGGGGTCGGGGGACCCCAGCAGAAAGAGATGCCAGGAGGTGGGAGAAAACAGAGAATCTGCTGTCGATGGTTTTGGAAACAGTAAGACATCAGAGGCTGAAGGGGTTAGGAAGATCCAAGTGAGAAGGGAAAAGGGTTCAGGCTGGGTTTGAGTGGTGAGATCCACACGCAGGGAGAGTGGGGAGAGCCTATTGATGAGAAGTGAGGGAATATGCAAAGCAGATGAAAATATGGCTTAAAAGCAGAAGTGGTCTGCGGTAGGGATTTGAAGAAACTAGACTTGCTAAGGCAGTTTGTACTCTGCTGCGCGCCTCTGCCTCACTGTCACCAGGGGCTCAGGGCCAGTCTCTTCCAAAAACATTTAGGATTGGATGTGTCACTCCCTTTCCACATTTTATGATTGCAGAATGGCAGGCTCTGGGAGGAAGGGGAATGATTTGCCCAAGGTCACACAGTGAGTCAGAAGTAGAGGTAGGAAACACACCCTGACTCCGAGTCCTGTCCACTCCTATACAACCATATATGGATTGGAGTAATTCATACTAAAGTGTGAATGGCAGATAGAATACACTTACCCAAAGTGGCCTTCATTGCAAGAGGACCCAGGGTGGGAGTAGGGTGTTCTAGATGCAGGAAAATTCTTCTCTGGGGGTCTTGCCTACCATAGCTAGACATTGCTAAGAAGCAACCTCTTCCCTAATTTTACAGATGCAGAAACTGAGCTTCAAAGACTTATTTGTGTACTGTAGTCTCAAAGTCTGCTGCTTCAGGGACCGTGGAAACAATTTCCATCTATAGGGGTAGACACTGGCTCCAGCCACTTGTGTTCATGTGTCCGGTGTGACTAGAGCTTCCAGTTTTTCAAGAGGAAACTGAAGTCTAGATTTTAACGTTAAAAAAAAAAAAAGGGCAACCATCTTAATTTTAAGGGAGAAAAAAAATATGCTACAATGGCTCAAGGTCCGTGGACTGCAGTAGTACAGTGCTGAACTCACAGAATCTTCCCAGACTTGCTGAACCTGCTTCCTTTCCTCAGAGAAAGTTGCAACTGGGAGAACAGTGCCCTGTGCTTCAGGTTCCTTGTATGTAACTATTAGGAGTGAGCTCAGCCACCCTGAACTTTCTTTACCTCTCAAAGCTGATGTGCCTACCCTGAGTCCTCCTTCCCTCCCTTCTGTCTGTCCCCACAGGCCTCACCCTTCAGAGGATGGCGACCTCTACATGAACTACGAGAGCCTCCCCCAGGCCTCCCCGTCCGTCTACCCCGTCTACGGCAACCTGCAGTTCCGGGGCCAGACCGCCCCGGCTGAGGAGGAGTACGTGGCCCCGGGGCACTGAGGCTGCCACGGCCTGAACCCCAGCCTGCCCCCTTCCAGGTGATTCGGGTCATTCTGGATCTCCCCCGCCAGTCTGAGGAACAGGGACAGGAGGAACGGTCCCGGAGCTCCCTCCTCAGACCCCGCTCTGCTCTTCAGCGCCCTTGGCTGCTAGGAACAGAAGAGGAGAGACCTCAACACACGCACAGGAGGTGCAAGGTTTAAACTCTGTTGTCACCTTCCTCAGTGTGCAGATGATGATCAATAAACACTGTGGGGCTGAGGAGGCTGCTGGCTCAGGGGGGAAAGGTTCCTTTCAGTGGGGACTTCCTGAGCTCTCCAGACTAGAGCTCTGAGACTCCTGGATTCTTCCCCGGGCCCCTCCCTCGACTTCTCAGGCCTCTTTCCCAAGCGCTGGCATCTGGACTCAGCCCGCAGGGCAGCCCACGCCAGCCTCAGAGGGGTTTTTGTGACTTACGAACCAGGACTGTGCCCTTCCACTGCTCACGCGCCCTCCGTGGCTCCGCGCTGTCTCTGGATCTTCAGCCTGGTACTTGGGGACTGCACGGTCCAACCTTGTCCCGTTCACTGGCTTCTCCTGTCCCTCGGCTCCTCTGATCTGGGCCTCACCCCCACCAAGCCCACCTCCCTCCTGCAGCCATTCTTTTACCCAGAATGTCACCTCCTTCCTTTTTTTAAAAAAAGTTTTTTTGTGTTTTGGGTTTTTTTTTGTTATTTCAATTCAGCTATTCTTTGCGATCACTTAGAGTTTTCTTTAAAACTATTTTATTGGTTATGCTATTACAGTTGTCCTGTTTTGTCCCACTTTGACCCCCTCCGCCCAGTACCCCCCCTCCCTCCAGTGATCCCCCTCCTTAGTTCCTGTCCGTGGGTCGTGCACGTAAGTTCTTCAGCTTCTCCATTTTTTATGCTATTCTTAACTTCCTCCTATTTTCTTCCCTCCAGATATGCTTCTTAATCCCTGCACTGGTTCCCCATTCTCTCCCTCCACCGCGCCCCCCCCCCGCCCCCCGCCAGCTGATAAACCTCCCAATGATCTCCATATCTAGGATTCTATTCCTGTTCTGGTTGTTTGCTTAATTTGTTTGTTTTTCTAGATTCAATTGTTGATAGTTGTGAGTTTGTTGCCTTGTTAATGTTCATGGTTTTGATTTTCTTCTTTTTCTTAAATAAGTCCCTTTAACATTTCCTGCAATAATAGCTTGGTGATGATGAACTCCTTTAACCTGACCTTGTCTGGGAAGCACTTTATCTGCCCTTCCATTCTAAAGGAGAGCTTTGCTGGATAGAGTAATCTAGGTTCTAGGTCCTTGTTTTTCAGCACTTTGAATGCTTCTTGCCAGTCCCTTCTTGCCTGCAAAGTTTCTTTTGAGGAATCCACCAATAGTCTTAGGGGAGCTCCTCTGTAGGTAACTCTCTGCTTTTCTCTTGCTGCTTTTAGGATCCTCTTTATCTTTAAACTTTAGCATTTTAATTATGATGTGTCTTGGTGTGTTCCTCTTTGGGTCCAATTTCTCTGGGACTCTCTGAGTTCCCTGGATCTCCTGGAAGTCTATTTTCTTTGCCAGACTGGGGAAATTCTCCATTATTTCTTCAAATAAGTTTTCAATTTATTGCTCTTCCTCTTCTCCTTCTGGTGTATGATTTGGATGCTGGCACATATGGAGATGTCCCAAAGGCTCCTAAGCCTATCTTTTTTGTTTTGTTTTGTTTTTTTTAAAATTCTTGTTTCTTCTTTTTGTTCTGCTCAAATGTTTTCTTCCTTATGTCCCGAACTGTTGGTTTGAATCCCAGCTTCCTTCCCTTCTCTGTTGGTTTCCTGTGGATTATCCTTTATTTCATTTAGTGTAAGCTTCATTTCTTCCTTTATTTTATTTTTTTTGCCATACTCAAGGAGTTCTCTGAGCATCCTGATAACCAGTGTTGTGAACTCTGCGTCTGATAGGTTGGCTATCTCCATTTTGCTTAGTTCTTTTTCTGGGGTTTTCTTCTGTTCTTTCACTTGGACCGTATTTCTTTATCTCCTCAGGTTAGCAGTCTCCCTGTGTTTGTTTCTGTGTATTAGGTACAGCTGTTTTCACTCCCTGTTTTAGGGCTGTGGCCTATTGTAGAAAAAGCACCTGTAAATTGTGTGGAGCAGAGCCTTAGGTAGTTGCCAGGGCAGGGCCCCTGCTTCACTGCTTTGTGGCTGTGTGGGGAGGGCTCACAGAGGGGACAGTGCCACAGCCTGGTTCCTGCTGGGTAGCCCAGCGCTCGCCCTGCCCGGTTTCCAATCACTTCACTCCCTTCCCATGTGTGACCAGTGCCCTCCCAGCTAGTGTCCGGGTTGCAAGGCCCGGAGTGGGTGGGTTTGCGTAGGTGCATTGTAGGACCGTATGGGCTCTTTAATCAGCAAAACCGGCAGTTTCTTCCAACATCTCAACCCCCACTGGTTTTTACAGCCAGGGTAGCAGGGAGCTATCTTCCCGGGGCTGGAACCCTGGGCTGTGCGGTCTGGCCTGGGGCTGGGATCACTCGCTCCTAAGGTGTCCCTCCCGTCAGTGTCCCCGCCACTGCTGCTGCCGCCTTTCCACACTGCACCACCTCTCTGCCTCTCCTACCCCTCTGGATGAATGTGTCAAGATTTTATTTATTTTTAGAGACAGGGGAAGCCAGGGAGAGAGGGAGAGAAACATCGATTTGTTGCCTCTCACTTGCTGCCAACTGGGGACTGGTGCATGACCCGAGCATGTGCCCTGACTGGGAATCAAACCTGCGACTTTTCAGTTTGCAGGCTGGCCCTCAATCCTCTGAGCCCCTTCCTCTTTTTCTTAGTCGTGAACATCCTGATACAGAGGCAGAACTATGGCTGGGGCGTTGGGAGGCATGGGTCCAAGTCCTAACGCTGCCATTAACTCCGTTCCCCCATTTGTAAAACGCGGTCTTGGAATTGGTCTCTAAGTTTGTTTTGCTCTAATATACCATGACATCTTAGCTCATCTGGAAACAGGAGTAATGAGAGGTGAGGAGAGGTGGACACCCAGAGAGACAGGGTGCTAGACAAGCATGGAGACAGAGAGAGAGATCTGTCCCAGGCTGCCATTGAGGCCATTAAAACACACATCCGATTGCCTCTCATCACTGAGGACGCCCCACTGCTCATTCCCTGACCCCTGCCATTCACCCCCATACCAGGTCTCCTGTGGGAACTGGGGCCAGGGAGGGGCAGACTCCTCCCAAGGTCCACAGCTAGTTTGGGCATCACAGGAGTCAGGTTAGACAGCTTCATTTTTATTAACCAGAGTTTAAATAAATGCACAGCCTGCTGGACCAGTCCTCCCCAAGACCTCTGGTTCCCACGCCAGTAACCCCCCAATAAATTAATAATAATAAATACCAACTTATAAATACAGCGGTGTAGGCGAGAGGCCGCAGACGGCAGTGGTTATGATAGACTATTTCAGGTCCCACTGGCCCGTTCCACTGGCCAGGTCACCTCCATTGCGCATGTGCCGTCAGCGAAGGCCTAGGTCAGTTTATAAGCAGTGGCAGTCACTGGCCACGAGGTCGTCGAAGGGCGTGAGGGTCACGCGGCCCTCGCTATCCCGGTGCAAGAGTACCACCGGCTCGTAGCTGGAGGGCACGCAGCACGGCGCAGGAGCGAGCTCGGGCTTCAGGCGGTGCAGACGCGCCAGCATTTGGGCATGCCGGTTAGCAGCCCGGAACTGGCTCGGGCACGCGCCACTGCACACGCGCACGTCCAGCTCGCGCGGCGCCAGCACCCAGTCGGCCCAGCCTAAGTCTTCGAGCGACGCGCGCAGGCTCTGTAGGCGGCAGCAGCGCCCCTCCCCGAGCGGGCAGCCGTCCCGGGCGCGCGCGCTGCGGCGTCCCCTGCGGGCGCTTGGCCGCCAGTGCAGCTCCAGCCGGAGCCGGGAGGAAGGTGATGCAGCCAGCAACCGATGGGAAGGCGGCAGCAGGTGCAGGCCCAGTGAGGGCGCCCGGGAGACTCCGAGGCCAATCTGACGCTGCAGCATCCGTGTCACATCCCACGAGCTCGATTCCGTCTGGGACAGTCTGAGCAGGGCCCGATGCAGGCGGGAGGCTGCGGGAAACCCTTTTGTCAGGTTGGCCCTAGGGATGCCCAGGTGCAGGTGGCCGCCTGGTCCAAGTCTTACTGTGGGAGAGAGAGGAAGGCCAGTCACCCACGGGCCTACTCTGTGCCGGGCATGAGGGTGCCCACTTCCTCCCACGAGCCAGATTGGATGCCACCTCGTGGCCATTGCATAAACTGCTTCTTCACCAGCCACACTCTTTCCCTGAATTCTTCCAGCCTGCCTAAAATAGGCACCACTGTATTTTATTTTATTGTACTATATCATTTCGTTGCCCCTATTTGAATCTCAGTAAGGGTTTCTGTCTGCCTGGTCACCACCGTGCCTAGCACGAAGTAGGTACTTAGTAAATATTTGGCAGAATGAATAAATACCTGAGATTCAAATGCTGATTCTGCCTTCTGGCAGTCAAAAACATTTTCATTGAAGGCCTACTAAGTGCCTAGGACTGGGGATTCAGCAACCAGCCGCTGTGTTTTCAATTCCTTGAGTCTCTGTTTCCTAGCTGAGAAATGAACGGCCCCAGATTCCCCGGTCGCAGACCTCCAGTCTGGTACAGGTGTTTGGGATACTATGGGGACTGAGGTCTGAGTTGCTGCGTGAGCACCACCGGCTCGCTAGGCTCGGAGAGGGTGAGAGGTTTACCTGGAGTCTTACCGCACCTATGGAATTAGGGCCGGATAAGAGCACTTCCTCGGGTCTGACACCCTCTCCGCCACCCCTCCCAGGTCCTAGCGCGGCCCGGATCTTTCTCCCTCTGCCTCCAGGAGCCTCCGTGGAGGCCGCGAAAATACTCCCTCCTTGTTTCAAGGCACCTATCACGTGCAACTTGAGCCGTGCCTTGTAGCGCGATTGCATCAGATTCCCAACTAGCCTGGGTCGGCTCTGCCGGTCGCTGTGCACTAAGTCCTGCCTACTCTCCCTTCCATCCCCCGCCCCGCCCCCGCCCCTGCATCCTTCCTTCTGGATCCCACCCACCCTCAAATCCGTTACATCTTAGACAGGGACCATTTGCCCAGGCCCGACCTCATATCAGAGCTCTCCAGGCTCTGGGAGCCTTCAGGAGAATCGCTGGCTTCTCTCGGCCTCAGTTTCCCCATCTGCTATCCGAGGAAATGTAACTCTCCTCTTTAACATTGGCTAAGACGCAACAGGGTCGCTAGCTCCCCCATCAGCCCTGATAGGGAACGCTCTTGTCTGGCTCACAGATGGGGAAACTGAGACTCGACTTTGTGCTCTGGGACTCAGAACCCCTGGTTAGATGATAGAAGCTGCTTGGGTGGGTTAGGGTTAGGGGTGTGTATTTGAGATTTCACTCACGCTTTGGGGTGAGTATCTGGACTTGAGTGGCAGGGATGAGATCGGGGTTCGAGTCTTCCCAGGTCTGGTTAGCCCGAAGCCTGGCCAACAAATCTTCGTAACGTTTCCGCATCTCCTGGAATCTGGAGACATCCGGGCTGGAGTGCATGTCTGAGGGTCCTGGGAAGGCTGGAAGGTGCTCCTGGGCTAGAGATAGGGCCCCTCCAGTCGGCAGCCACGAGAGCATCAGCAGCAGCAGCAGCATCGCCGGACAGCACGGTGTCGGGCGTCCCCGCCCTTGCGTGGCTCTGCTCTCAATGCTCTGAGCTGCGACTGACCGGCTGCTGCTGGCCAGGCCTTTGTATTCCTCGGACTTTGTCCGCCCCCGCCCGCCCGGCCCAGCCCTCCCGGGGTGCACAGTAAACACTCCAGGGATCACAGCTGGGCAGGGTCTAGGGTGCTTTCCAGGGGGAGATGCTTGGAGGGTGATGCCCCTGGAGAGGCTGGGGAAGCCCCTCCCAGGAGTACTTCTGAGCCTCAGTAGTTTCTTCTGTGAAATGGGGACATCATCCCCGCTTGGTGGGCTGATGGGAAGAATGATTTTCTCAAAAAGGACTTATTATTATGTGCCAAACTCCATAGCAAGAGCTTAAGATGTGGCCTTCTTCCCCCGTGGTGTTCCCTTCCGTCCACCCCACCCCCCCACCCTCTCCCCATAGGGCCAAAGGCTGAAGATGTTGAAAAACAAGCAAAGGAGAAAAGGCCAGAAAGAGCCAAAAAGTGTTGCCTGGGGCACTTTCCACTCCATCACACCTCTGTTTCTTCATCTAGAAAATAAGGTCTGAGACTTTCACTGGAGAGAAAGTTACATGCTGTGTAAGGGACAAAACAAGGCATGTAGTAGGTGCTTCGTGTATTGGGTGTTTTTAGCAGTTACTCATCCTTATCTGAGAAACTCCTGTTCATTCTTCAGCTGGTGCTCCCATCCCCCGTTCCTTCCTCAGGCCCAGGCCTGGCCCTCAGCACCGGCGGGGTCTGTGTCAGCCCTTCTGCCCCTGACTGGGGGTTCCCAGAAGGCTGGGACAGGGTAACTCTACTCTGGGCACTCCGAGAGGAGGGGGCAAGGACCTGGAGCGCTGTGGTTTAGGGGAGGGAGAGCTGGTGTCCGATCCAGCCACCAGGTGGTGAAGGGGCAGAAGGTGCCCCAGGAATGCCCTCCCCTGGGTCCAATAGACCTTCTTCCACCGCTCAGGACTCCTGGCCCCGCGCACGGGTCCCTGTGCCATGGGGAGGGTGGGCCGGCTGTGTGACGCAGGTGGTGGGGGGGTGTGAAGTGTGACAGGAGCATGCAAGCAAGAGGTACAAGGACCAATGGGGGCCTCACAGCAAGGCTCCCACAGGGCGAACAGGGGCCAACCCCTTCCCCGAGCGCAAACCCACTGGCTGTGCTCGGCCAGCCAAGCCGAGGGCCCCTGGGTCTCAGCCTCAGCTCTGTGCAGTGGGGTTGTGCCATGCGATGGGAAGATCCTGAGGCCCCATAATGCCCTGGGTAATCAGGAGGTGCTCAGGAAACACATCTGCTCATCCTACCGTCCTGATTGCAGCTGGTCAGGAGGCTGGGCCTCTTGCCCTACCAGCTTGGCACAAAGCGAATGCTCAATAAAGGGCGCCAGGATGACTAAGCAAGGAGCTGGGGCTCCCTCCGCAGCCACCTCCACACGCACTAGCAGAGGCCGGGCGCCAGAGCTAGGCCAGCGTGCTGAGTAATCCTCACATGGCAGGGCAAGGTCAGCAAGGGCCATGGAGGCCATGCCGACCCGTGCGTGAGCAGGGCAACGCGGTGGCGGCCTGCAGATCAATAATACTGAGACAGCAACATTCACGGGACTCCGGGCTGCAGGCATTGTCCACACGCATTTCCATAAACGGATAAGGAGCCAAACCCCAGAGGCACAAGTAGGTGCATAGGCTGTAGGGGTGACTGCAAAGGGGACCTCGTGCGTGTGTGGTCTTCCACTTGGCCATCTGCTTCCTTGGCATCTCTAGGCCTGGGACGGGACCCTGAAGTTCCCTGTCTGTAGTTTTTCCCAAATGTGAAAGCCTCCAGGAGCTCATCCCGATCCGAGTCCCACAGCCTGGAGAGCTGTCAGCTCCAGAGCAGCCAGCCTGGGACGGCGCTCCTGCCCTTGTTCTCCCTGGCTCTCACATGTAGGAGACAGGGCTTCTATGGGCAGAGCCTCGGTTTCCCCATCTGGAAAAGGTGGTGATGGAACTTGGGTCAGGGCCGTGGGGAGGACACACAGGGAGTGGGGACTTTGCACATGCGGAGGGTTGACACATGAATCAAATTCCAGTGTTACTTCCTTGCTAAGGGACTGGGAGGGTCTGTGTTGGTTCTGTGCCTCAGACTGGGGGTTCCGGGAAGGCTGGGGCAAGGATGAAGCCACTGTGGGCCCCCGTCCCTTGACTGGGCCCAGAGAGGAGGGGCAAGGAACTGGAGCGCTGTGGTTTAGGGGAGGGAGGGCTGGTGCCCAATCCAGCCACCCGACGGTGAAGGGGCGTGGGGTGCTCCATACACATTCCCCCCAGGACACCCAGACCTTCTTCCACTGCTCGGGGCTCCTGGCCTCGGTCACCGGTCCCTGTGCCGCGGAGAAGATGAGCAGATGGTGGGAGGGCGTGAAGTGTGACAGGAGGTTGCAGGCAAGAGGTGCAAGGACCAATGGGGGCCTCACAGCAAGGTTCCCACTGGGAGAACGGGGTCCAGTCCCCTCCCCGAGCGCAAACCCACTGGCTGTGCTCGGCCAGCCAAGCCGAGGGCCCCTGGGTCTCAGCCTCAGCTCTGTGCAGTGGGATTATCGCCAGATAAGGTTGGGGGGGCGGCCTGAGGCAACCCTAACCCCACCCCCCCCATGAAGCCCTGGGTTCGCAGCAGATGCTCACCCGCCATCCTGACTGCGGCTGGTTGGGAGGTTTAACCCAGCCTCTTCCTTCCACTTAGACCTGTTGCTTCTCTAGTGATGAGAAAATGGAGGGGCAGGACAGGCAGGAAGGGCTGTAGGGATGATCCGCCCATGAGACCCTGTGCATGTTCATGCAGGCTGCGCAGGTCAAGGCTGTGTTCTGTCAGGACGCCTGAGTCCTGAACACACAGCTGGGCGCTCTCGGAAGCCGCCTCCCCTCACCTCCCCGGCTCTCCTGGGATGGTCCAGGTAGGAGTCTCCCCAGGAAACTAACAGGGAAGTCAACATTTGAAAAGTGAACAAATCTGGGGCATTTAGCACATCCATAATACTATACAACCATCTTTTCCAGAACATTTCCATCATGCGAAAGGAGACCCGTCCCCATTAGCGGTCACTTCCCATTCCCCTCCCCCACCCCCTGGCAATCACTAATCTGCTTTCTGCCTATAGATTTGCCTGTTGTGGACATTTTATATTAAAACATTCTGCACCCAATTTCCAATGTCGGGAGCGCGGTTCCCCACACCAAGAATTCTCCCGTACCGGCGGGGTGCCCTATAATTCAACCCAGTTCTGACACCATCTACCTGGAGAACATGTCAGATCCCACAGGTTCAGGGCTCTCAGTCCCACAAGACTGTCCCCGCCCCATAGCCCTCTTCAGATGCCAATTACAAGTCCAGGTTGCCACCTGTGCTTCTGACCTACTGGCTATAAATTGGAGGTTCCGACGCCCTTACCTTGGGTTAGATTAATTTGCGAGATCAGGTCAGAGAACTTCTGACTTCATTTACTCACTAGATTACTGACTTGTCACAAAGAATATTACAAGATAAGCATCGACAGCCAGATGGAAAAAATGCGCAGGGAAAGGTGTGGGGAAGGGCCACGGGGCTTTCTTGGCCTCTGCACATGCGCCGCCTTCGCGGTGCCTGCGCGTACCCACCCACCTGGGAGCCCTGGGAACCCCATCCTTCGGGGTTTTACGGAGCCTTCATGACATAGGCGTGATTAATTAAATCGTTGGCTGCCGGTGGCTGATTCAGTTTCCAGTGCCTCTCCTCTCCCCTCCCCAGGGGTGGGACTGAAACTTCTACCCTTCTGTTCACATGGGTGGCTCCACTGGCCACCAGGCCGCATCCTTCGTTTTACAAAATCACCTCCCTAACATAAGACAACACACCTTTCTCAGCCTCTTCACAGGAAATTCCAAGGATTTTAGGAGCTCAGTGTCAGCAATGGGGGCAGAAGACCAAATATGTGTTTCATATTATAAGTCACAACATCACACGCATAAATAGAATCACGTACTGTGTGGCTGTTTGTGTCTGGCTTCTCTCAGACTGTTTGCAAGTTCATCCACGTTGCAGCCTATGTCAGTGCTTCATTCTTTTTCATGGTTGAGTAATATTCCACTCTATGAATACACCTCATGTTGTCTATCCATTCATCCATCGGTGGTCTTTTGGGTTGTTTCCATGTTTTGGCATTTGTGGATAGAGCTGCTATGAACATTCATATACAAGATTCACAGACCTGTTTTCAATTTTTGTGGGGATACACCCAGAAGTGGGATTGCTGGGTCATACCATCATTCTATGTTTAACTTTCTGAGGAGTCTCCAGAATGTATCCCACAGCCTCTGCTTTTTCATTTTTAAGCTTTGACTGAGGTACAAATTTCATAAGAAAAAGGACTAATATTGTTCAGCTCGATGACATTTTACAATGGTATGTCCTATGGGACTGCTTCCTGGATGAGGTTCTAGAATATTCCCAGTCCAGGAGCACCCTGGGCTCTCTCCCATCACTTTCCCTGATGCTGGATATCCGCCATGCCCACCTGTTACCACGGATGAGTTTCCCAGCATCCGGCATATATAGTGATATAACAAAAGCAGCAATGCACTCTTTCCTGTCTGGCATCTTGCACTCAGCTCCACGCCCAGCAGTGTTCCTTGTTATCTGCTGGGAGGGCCGCCCTTCCCCTGGCTGTGTAGTAGCCCACTGTGCATAATCAGGAGTGACGCTGCTGACCCGTGAGCGAGTACCTGTTCCTTTATGAGCAGGACCAGTAATCAGTGTCAACGTAAGAAACGTCTAAACCTGTAGAGAATTTTATGAGTTTATCTGGGCTAAAGTGATGACAATTGCTGGGAAGCAAAATCTCAAATAATGGAAAAAATGCTCTGGAGAATGGCACTTTTGCAGTTTATTTTGTATGAGGGGGGACTAAAAAAAAACCCCAAAAACCAAAAACCTGGAATTTACTTAAAAAATTGTGTATTTATTCTTACATGTTTAAATTTCAG